TTTTTTAAATTGGAAAAAAGAAAAAAGAAAATAGTCTTTTGCTAAACAACGAAAAAGGTGAACAGTATAAGGGTACAACTATTAGGGCAAAACCCCCATTCTCAACCCTTCCAGAAAACCCATACCCCTCTGCTATTCATTTCCTAATCTCAGTCGGATCCAGCGAAAGATCCGATCTTGACCTGAATACTAGCATCTCCCACCAACTACCGCTAAAAATGGCATTGGCGTTCGATGAATATGGTCGGCCGTTCATTATACTAAAAGAGCAGGATCAGAAGACTCGGTTGCGAGGTCTGGATGCACAGAAGGCCAATATTTCAGCCGGAAAAGCTGTGGCTCGGATCCTTCGGACCTCACTCGGACCCAAAGGCATGGACAAGATGCTCCAAAGCCCCGACGGTGACGTCACGATCAGTATGCTCCCTTCATTTATTTCGGACTTCGGAATTTAATGTAAACAATGTGTGTAAACTGATACATACTATTTGTACTTCACTTTAGGAAGATAATGATTTATAGAAACTTGAACTTATTTCCTTAGTGGATAAGATGAAACTAGAAGTTTGAAGTATAGTTTTAGGGCATATCCAATGCTGCACGCACCAAATTAAACACAAAAGTTATCTCCAATGGTACACTATACCACGCCAAAATGGTGTAATATTTGAAGTTTTTTATTATTAGTATTTTGCTCTTCAGTTTATATTACAACAAAATTTAATTCCTATTATATCCTTTTTATATCATTTTATTATTTAATATTTAACTTTATTTTAATTGATTATTAATTTAGTTAACATTTACTTGTCAATTCTAATTAAGTAATGCAATATAAGTGTAATCCTTTTTCTTTTTCTTTTTCTTTTAAATTTTAATAAATTCAATATATTAGTTCATTAATATAATTTTAGTGCATTTTAGTTCATAAATATTATTATATTTAATAATTTTAGTAATAATATAATTTGTAATTAAATAATTTCTTGAAATTAATTAATTTTTGAGAATAAAATAGAAGGAAATAAAGAAATAATGTTCATTTGGTGTAAATATTGGAGATGACTTTGCAAAATGGTTTGAAAGTTGCACCAATTTGGTGTGACAGTTGCGCTAATTTGGTGCAAACCGCTAGAGATGCTCTTAATTTTGCTGTTAACTTTACTGAGTTTTATTAAAACTTTTGAAGGCAGTGTTTGATCGGTGATAAATATGATAGCATCAAGAGAAAAGCTTTTAAACAAATAAAAAAAGGAAAAAAGAACAAGAAAGCAATATGAATATCCTTTTCGTTTGAAGAGGAGGATGTTTTTACCACTTATCCATACACAGTAGACAATAGATGAAAGGGCTTAGAGTTGTTTCTATATTTTATAATAAGTTGCAGGAATAATATTTAAATGATGTACATATGTTCTATTTGATAGCTTAGATGTAGTGGTTTTACAATTTGTATCTAATTTGTGGAAATGTCCAATGTTTTATGTGTAGAAATGTTCTGAATTTATCTTACTCGAAAGAAATTACTCATCACTTCTTGTCTTGTTAGCAAATGATGGTGCGACAATCTTGGAGCAGATGGACGTTGACAATCAGATTGCGAAGCTAATGGTTGAATTATCCCGAAGTCAAGACTATGAAATTGGTGATGGAACAACTGGAGTTGTTGTCATGGCTGGTTCACTTCTAGAACAAGCTGAAAAGTTATTAGAACGTGGTATTCATCCTATCCGGATTGCAGAAGGATATGAAATGGCTTCTAGGATAGCTTTTGAACATCTGGAGAACGTAGCCCATAAATTCGAATTTGATGCTACAAATATGGAACCTCTGATTCAAACTTGCATGACTACGTTATCATCCAAGCTGTAGGTGCCAATTCTCAAGCAAAATTTTGATAATGCTCACCCCACCCCCATAGTATTGTAGGATGCTCTGCCTTGATTCCTGATCAAACACAGTGTATACAATTGTCTCTATTTATTCTTTGCTATAATGGGTTCTGATATGATTCTAGCACCTGTGCATTACAAAATTATTCCTTTGATTTTCTATAGAATGGCATATGTTAATATTACAACTGATTCCTTTTATTGTGTACTTGTTTTGATGTCTTCAACTTTATACGCAGTGTGAATAGATGCAAGCGTAGTTTGGCAGAGATTGCTGTCAAAGCAGTGCTAGCTGTTGCAGATTTAGAGAGGAAGGATGTTAACTTAGATCTAATTAAAGTAGAAGGGAAGGTAGGTGGGAAGTTAGAGGATACTGAACTGATATATGGAATTGTTGTCGATAAAGATATGAGTCATCCACAGATGCCAAAGCAAATTGAGGATGCCAAAATTGCTATTTTGACGTGTCCTTTTGAGCCACCGAAGCCAAAAACTAAGCATAAGGTTGACATTGATACAGTTGAAAAATTCCAAACACTACGTCGACAGGAGCAGCAGTACTTTGATGACATGGTTCAAAAATGCAAGGTGAAGGACTCCTATCTCTCTCTTTTTTTCCATTTCCTCATCCTTGTCATCCTTTGGAATATTGTTAGGGTCCGTTTGATTGCAAAGATGGAATTGAATTGCTTAGAAAACGAATTTCAGAGAATTGAATTGCCTAGAATTGTTTTCCTGGGAATTATAAATTATTTTGTTTGATTGGTATAATTTTCCACGTGGAAAATGTTGAAATAAAAGTGTTTTTTAATGTTCATTTGACTTTGTTTTACATGAAAATTGTCAATTAAAGAGAAATATTTTTTTACAATAATTCTTAGAATTGGTTTCCATTACCAAAAAAAAAAAAAAAAAAAAAAAAAAAAAAAAAAA